GATCACAAATTGAATTCACAAAACGAATATATAACTATATTATTTGCAATTGTGTCAAAGGCAACTTCAATGACTGAAACACAAATAAATGGAATGAGGTCTGTGTTATTGGTTGCACTCAAACTTCTAGCTGAAAAGGGTGGAAAGGGGCTTTCAATATCATATGAAACTGTCACCCGAAGAGCTTCACTTATACCAATTGTAGAAAAAGAAGAAATTACAAACAATTTTGGTAAATGTGTTGGATATGGAATTTCAACAGATTCTTCAACATATGGTGATCATTATCTCTCTCTTTATGCAAGATTTGTTTATAAAGATTGTACATTCGAAGAAAAAAGTTAAGTATTTGCAGATATTACGATTCGAAAAACGCGATTAACTGGACAAAGTGGATCGATAAAATTGTGTGTAGTGTTTACAATTCCAATTTTTCAAAATTGTGTTCATTTTGTAGTGATGGAGATATAACATTGAAAAGTAATGATAATGGTGTCGCAGGAAAACTTACTGAAATCGTTGAAAGAGATGGAGGCTTGGTCGAGTGTTTTTTGGATAATTATTGTTGTGACCATAGATTAAACATATCAAGCAAAACTGTATTTGAAAGTTGTTATGGGTACATTGTTGACAAATATTTGAGTGAAATACCCAAAGAACAAAATCGAAATTTGTTAATTCAGTATATTACTCATTACGACTTGAAAGGTGTAATGAACAAAGTAAGCCGTCTTAGTGAAACAAGATTTTTTTACACTGTTTTGGTATCAAATTGGGTGTTTGAATATTATGAAGAATTTGTAAATTTTATATTGTTGTCTGGTGTTGAACAAAACATCTCCAAAAACATACCAAACGACACTGAACTTAATGTGGTGTCTTTTACAAATCCAGTATTTGTTGGTGTTGTATATTTTGTCAATGTGTTAATGACAGAAATGAAAGCTCTGAGTGACTGGTTACAAACTGATGGCCTTTTGTTTTTTATGGCTTTTAAAAGGATAGAATTGTATATCAAACATTTATTTGATATACGAGTTTTAATTAAAAGTGGTGAATTTAAATACTTCAAAAAGTATTTGTATTGTGGAATCATTGATCCAAATGAAAGAGAACGTTTCCCAAA